CGCACTGGTTAGCTGGCCAATCACAGCACACCTCGCTTTTCAGACCGATGAGCTTTGTAAAAATCGACGTGTTTCAGAAAGGTGGGGCATAGAGGAGAAACAATAATGTACAGTATGTGGAAAATAATGTGTTTTTTGAACCTTAAACCGCATAAACACATTTCATTACACCAAATAATGTTCTTTTTAGCAACATCATATGACCCCTTTAAAGTCAAATACATTTGGATTTACATTTAATCATTTAGCAGACGCTTTTATCCAAAGTGACTTACAAATGAGGACAATAGAAGCAATCAAAACTAACAAAAGAGCAACAATATGTAAGTGCTAAATTTATATTAAAAAAATGTTATTCATTTTAATGTCTGTAAAAATAAAATTCACATTTTTAAAACCCAATATTTTGTTGAAGTCATTGTTATTTGGTGCTTAAGAAACGTAATATCTGGGTTATTATGGTACATGGTAGTTATAATAAAGAAATCTTACATATTAACGGATAATTCAATCTCATTTAATGCTCCTTATGGTTAAATGTGCTTTGATTATCTTTATTGATTAAACAATAGTTTAAAACAAGACATGGTTTGTGGTACTGATTATTGAGGTCCATATCCGTCCGTCTTCCATGCCACATACTCTACGAGACGCGGGGGTGTTGGATGATTACTGACGTACAGCAGCGGTATCGGAGTAAAGAGACTAGGAGAACGTTCTGAGAACCTTCAGAGAACTTTCTGGGAACCTTTTAGGAACGTAAATGGAACATTACGAGAACCTACAGAGAACATTCCCCTAACCTAAAGGGAACGTTCTGTTTACGTTAAGAAAAGTTTCCTGGCTAACCAAAAGGGAACGTTCTTGAGAATGTTCTGGGAACCATAATTTGTTAGCTGGGATATCAACTATTCAGTTTTGACTAGTATGTATTCCACTAGTGACTACTAGTAGTTATTCATTAGGTACTAGTACGTATTTTTTAGATACTAGTACTCATTCATTAGATACTAGCACCTATTAAATAGACACTAGTACTTATTATTAGATACTAGTACTTAATCATTAGGTACTAGTGCTTATTTATTAGAAACGAGTACTCATTCATTAGATACTAGTACCTATTAAATAGATACTAGTACTTATTCGAAATGTTACTAGTAAGATTATTTATATCTTCAACCTCATAAAGAACTAGTGAGAATGTATTTGGAGATATCTTCATTTAAAGAGATCATTACATAAACATGAGTACCTCTCCACCGTCCAATCAAAGTCCACATGGTAATACAATACATTAATATGCTGAATTAATTTGGTTGTTAAGTAAGGCTAACTGTCTTTGTATGTTAGCCTATTTTGCTAATTGGTTACCATGAAAACACAAAGAAAGATTACAAACCTGTTGTCCAACAAAAGTGTAATATGTTTTAGTCCAAATTCACTTCACAACATCAGTCGAGTCTTTGAAATTACTTATTTTTGTAATCTGACATGGTTACATTAAACAGAATGAGGCAGAAATCATGCCACTTTACATTATTCTATACAGTGATAAAGGCTATGTCGATTAGCATTGCATTTTAAATATACTTTATCCTTATAAAAATACCTGAGATGGCTTGAAGAGCACAAAGATTACAAACCTGTTTTCCAACAAAAGTATAATGATATGTTTTAGTCCAAATTCACTTCACAACATCAGTCGAGTCTTTGAAATTACTTATTTTTGTAATCTGACATGGTTACATTAAACAGAATGAGGCAGAAATCATGCCACTTTACATTATTCTATACAGTGATAAAGGCTATGTCGATTAGCATTGCATTATAAATATATATTATGCAAATAAAAAATACCCGTGATGGCTTGAAGAACAGAGATACACCATTTAGTCACAATCGTGTGTTTATTTTCTTCGAACTTAGGGTGTCCTTAGAAGCGTTCTAGCTCACATCCTCATCTTCTCAGAATCTAACCGAACCGCAGACTGACTGACTATGTGTTGGAGCCCACTGGGCATGCCCGCACCGGCTCAGGCTTCTTAGCAGAAGAAGAACAACAAGAACATGGGAATATATTGCCTATGTACCCACATATAATATAAACGCTCATTTAGATCATCAGAAGACAAATTCAAAGAGACCAAACATGGTATCAGTGGGGTTATATTAACTAGTGATCTATCATAACACACACACAAAACAGTATACAATTCAAAAGACAATATACAAGAACAGTAATAGTATACACAATGTCCTAAGGAGATGTGTGTTCATTCACAGAAAGGTTTTTCTATGAATTCATTAGAGAAGAGTCCATTTTTATGGGCATTGTGTGTCTTTCCTAAGGGTAAATGAATTGTGAGTTGCTCTGCCCGCATTCCTTTGGGCAATAAAACCAGTGATATCAGCATTGGTTGCCATGGAACCAGAGGCCTGTTCTGCCTTTCTGAGGTGTTAGATGCATTTCGGGGGAATGTTACAAAGTATTTGTTAAATATAACTAAAAAAATTGTGTGTCTGGTTGGTCCAGACGCTACACAGTCATTGTTTATTTTCTTCATATTTCATCAGTAAAACATCTATCTGCATGTTATTCAGCTACTACATCTACAGCGGAAGCTGAATGTCTTTGTCCATATACGAAATACAGACAAAGGAAAATCTGGTTTAGGAAGAGATCGTTCTGCTGACCACGCTGATAATCAAAAAATGGAAGTCATGGAGACGCATTCCTACGCTCGATGCAGTAATCCAGAGCTAACGTTAACTCCAGTTCCAGGTTCAGAACCATGCACGCCAGATCCCAAGAAAAGTAAATCGGAGCCAACGCTTGCTGAGGTACAGAATAACATCGTGCAAATATTGGTGGAGAAAATGAATCAAAATACCGAAACCATACACCATGAGATCAAACAAAACAGAGAATGCATAAACTCTTTAAAAGAAGCTACTGAATTTCTCTTCAAAGAGATGCATGATGTTAAGAAAGACATTGTTAGACTCTTAAGGAAGTAAACGAGTAACATCAGAAGAGAATTTCAGAGTTGGAAGAAAGAGTGAATGAAGCTGAAAGATACCAAAGATGGAATCTAAGGCTTTACGGTCTAGCAGAGCAAGAAGGAGAGAATGTCAAACAACGAGTGATTGACATATGCCGCGCCTTGGTAACGGAGGCTGCAGATAACTTTCCTCATCACATTGAAGTTGTTCATCACGTCGGGAGGAAAAGCGCCAAGAAGGTTCGACCGGTCATCTTGAGGTTTACGGCGAGATCAGCCAAGGAGCTCCTGTGGAAGAGTTCGAAGGGATCAGAGTATCTTCAGTCCAGAAAGTTAAGATTTGGAGAGGACCTAACAACGAAAGACAAAGACACGCGTAACAGACTTTGGCCTCAAATAGAAGCTGCGCGCATATATATATTTAAGTATTTGTTTTGATTCAGTTTAAATGTTATTGCCCTTATATGTTCTTTGTTCTAAAAACTGCAATAAAAAAATAAAAAAATAAAAATAAGGGATTTCCTGGAACATCATCAGTGAGTCTCACTTGTGGAGCTTCTGCGCGAGGGCGTCCTCTGGCTACGAGTATGAATGAAAAAGAAATTACATTAATTGAGTACTCATTATTGCTCACAAAACCCTAATTTGGGTAAAAATAGCAAACATAATTAAGAACTTTGAGGTAAACATTTGCAAATCCTTATGTTTTTCTCCAGGGTAGAGAAGTGTAAAAAAATTTTTCTTGCAGCTATATTTATTATAATATTTATTCTTAAATACTCAGTTTTGCATATCATAGTGAAATAGTGTTATTACAAAAGTAATATTCCTTATTTTGTTTAATGTTTTTATTTAGAAATAATAACCATAATCATTATTAGTTATATTGGATTAACTTTACTTAGTTAAGTAAACTTTTAACGTAGTTATTAAAAGATTAAATTTTGGGCCAAATTGTGCAGCCCTACAAGTACAGCAAACCTGGTGATTTTTTATTTTATTTTATTTTTTATTATTATTATTATTAATAACTTTTTGGCCTTTTTCCAAATAAAGAAAATGTTTGTCTGAAAACAATAAGGTTTGGATTGTCTGCCCTGTACAGAACATTAATGTAAAAACATTCAGTGTCTGTAGCACCAGTGTGTCCTGTACAGAATATTAATGTAAAAACATTCAATGTCTGCAGCACCAGTGCTATATGCAAAACAAAACAAACAAAAAAAAAAGTTAACGTACAGCCCTGGAATGATATTTATTGTTTTTACTGGAGGAAAAATAGGAAAATAACAGATAATAAAATTGGTGTCTTATCTCCATCCTGCCACCAGAGGTCACTTGATGACCAAAAAACACATTAGGCATTAAATAACAAACACATTATGTTTACGAAATTAGTGTTTACAAAATTGACAAAAAAAAATTTGCTTGTGTACAAATAATTGTTTCTTTTCTATGTGGTTCATCTCATTGTTTCTGTTTCCTGTCTAATCTCTCTCCTATATGTTGCTGGCTCATTAATATTCAACATACGATTACCATACTGGGCAGAAATGCAAATTTAAAAAGTACAAGTATCTATTAATTTCAGGATATCAGCACCCCTAGTTCCCGCGGCCATGCGTGAAGGAAGAAGGGATACAGCTGCGGCTACTGCATGCACACATAAATATAGCATAATTTTTTGTCACACTGTACAACAATAATTACTGTTTTTGCATTATTGCAAGGACGGTAAAAAAAAAAAAAAAAAGGTAAATTGGCAACAGTGTCTACAGGTTCCTCAGGTACATCCTGCTGCCAGCCTATTTTGTGTTGGTTCTGTGTTTGGTATTTCAAACGCGCTCTGAGAGATATTTAATCTCTTTTGCTCATTGTGCCAATAATAATGACGCTTTAAGTAATGAATATTCATTACTCAACGCAAGACCCGCCTATCTGTATAATCCAATGTGCGCAGGTTTGATGTCGTCTCCAGGAAGTCTTCCGCTCGTGTACAGATGACAGCTCAGCTGAACAGACTGTTTAACCGGTTAGCCCTAGTCTCCGTCCCGAAACATATAGAAATGGAAGTATTAATGTCCTACCTTCACAGCCAAAGGGGATAACATCTGCTGTATTGCTAGAAATACAGTGGGCTAAATATCTGCTTTTTTTGTTTGTTTGTTTGAAAGGATCGGGATCAAGCCTAAGTGAGGTACTGCTACTCAGCTGCCACATTAGCGGCTAATGCACTTATCTTATGCTTAAATGCATTTATTTCATAACATACTCAGTAAAACTAAGCGTTTATCGCGATAGCGTATTATGACGCGTACAGGATTGTGGCCATATCAGGTGCATGCTTAATTTTTTTACTCGGATCGCGACAAAAATGTGGTTAAGACAGATCACAAGCTTAAGAACAAGAAAGGACAATCAGTATAAACTTAAATGCTTTTCGTAATAATAAATGCTCACTCTACAGATCTTCTCTTATTGTTTGTTTTTTTGTCTAGTAACTAGAATGGCATAAATTGTGCATTTATATGGTTCAAGGGCGTCACTCAGTTTTAAGGAGTGACATTTAATTTCATCAACTTCATTTTTACAACTCTTGAAAATGTTGACATTTTCATTTATGTCATTTAGCCAAGATGGCTAATTTTCACATTAATATAAAAGTAAAAAGTACATAATACAGTTACTACAATACCCCCCCCAAAAAAACACTTTTTGTTACTTCTTTAAAAATTACTTTAAAAATTACTTTTTTTTTTCTTCTTTTAGTTAGTATTTTCCAATCATGGGTTCCTCTGAAAGCAAAAGATAACTAACTAAAAGTACTTCTCAGTGGCAGCCTGGCAGGATATGCAATCCCCCCTTGTGTCAGCAAATTTATATACTCCTTGAGTATGGGTGGTTCATAACCATTAAAGTCTGCATGAAATAAAAATTTACCATATTTATTTTGTTAGCACACATTGCTAGTCTTAAGGTAAACAATTAATCCATGCAAGTTAATCCACTGAAAAAAAAAAAAAAGGTTTGTCTGGGTAATCTTTCATCAAAATCTGATCATTTGCTTCCGCTCTGGAATGGCATTCCTTCTCTGATGACATCCGTTTGACGGCTTGGGCAGAAAATCCTTAACCACACCCCTCCAACCGCTAGTTTGCTGCAAGTGAAAGATGAGAGTAGGAGCGCAAAAATAAAAGCCCGCCCTCTATTCAATATTCTATTTCAGTAGGAAATATGCCACCATACTGAACTAAAGTTGGCAGAAACTTCCGGTTCACACAGACTTTAAGAATCTTTAAAAACACAACACTAAATCAGTAAATAGACTCGATTAATTTGAAATTGAAGGGAATCCCCAGCTTATAAATAAATAAATAAAAACTTTATTTGACTTTTTGTCTAATATCTTAAAAGCTTGCTAATAGACAGTTTTAACAGGCTAAGGGTATGATGAGGAACATAGATAGTTTAAACAGTTGTAGCATATACCGAGCATTGTTCCTCTCTGTTATGTGTGATTTTCCCAACTCTTTTCCTGAACACAGCATGTTGCATGTTAAGGCCTGAGAAAAAAGGCTGTATCTTTCTGTGTGTATCCAGTCTGTGAACTCACACTCATATTTTGCTGTTGTTCCATCTTTTGCATCCAGATGGAGGATTCTGTAGAGTCTAAGTGGACGCTGAAGTCAGATGCAAAATCAGAGCCTTTTCTCTATTGTTGCTCAGCCTGTGATTGCAGTGAGGAGCCTTTCCGTGGAAAAGTATTCCGGAACAGAACTAAAGCGAGGAGTATGTCTATGCCATCAGCACCTAGCTCTGCCAAGTTCAGGTAAAACAAGACTCTCTGTTAAGATAGTCTAAACAAGTGCCTTTTGTCTTGTCTGTTAATGTGTGTTTCAGGTGACAAAGTGTTAGTCCTTTCCATTCTGTCCATAACACTCAACACATTTTCTGAGCAGCTCATGATTGATCCCTCCTCAGGACAGCCACTAACTATCACATGAGCAGATGATGACAGTTCTCTCACAATAAGCATTATAGAGACAGAGCGCATTTAGGCCACGCCCACACTGGGGGGAAAACAATCCAACGCTCTCCATTGACTTTGTATTGCGAGAATCTGCCTCCTTGTCATTTCTGACTTATAACAAAAAACAGCGCAATGCCTAAAAGCTGCTGTGTGACAAGGTGTACAGTAAACAAGCTAAAAAACCCAGAACTACGTTTTTATAAGCTGTCGACCACAAAAAAACGAGCGTTTAAGGACACAAATAGTTGTACATGTCGAGGTATTTCACGTTGGGCCATTCAGTTAGATCATTTCTCAAACAAAAGGAAGATAAGGAAAAGGGGCACTGACGTAGACCAATAAAATTTATAAATATATCTCCTCCTCTCAGGCTCACATAGGGTGGTGAAATAATCCTTTGACATGATTAAAAATAATGAATGTTTCCTGTTGCCGATTACGTTTCCCTCCAGTGGGCTTAGTTGTCAGAGTAATATGACACGTTGCGCTCTACTTTTGTGTCCTAAATGCTCGATTTTTGGGTCGACAGCTTATAAAAACGTAGTTCTGTTTTTTTTTTTTAGCTTGTTTACTGTACACCTTGTCACATAGCAGCTTTTAGACATTGTTCTGTTTTTTGTTATAAGTCAGAAATTACAAGGAGGCAGCTTCCCGCAATACAAAGTCAATGGAGAGCATTGGATAGCATTGGATTGTTTTCCCCGCCGGTGGGTGTGGTTTTCAGATTATGACGCGTGTTGCTCTGTCTCTATAGCCTTGAGTCAAATCACTCAAACCATTTATAAAGCTACTAACTCATTGTGTGGCCACTACTGCTGAAATAAGGCTTTCATTGCATGGAAATAAGTTTCTATAAGATAAAATACTGCCGTTTTACTGCTATCATTTTCGGCTATCATTTTTATTTGCATGAGCAGAAGATATTTTTTGTTGTTTTTGTTTTCTTTGTTTGCATATGAAACCTTGAGAAATATATCAGATAGGCCTAATACTGTAATATTTGGATTGAGGAATATTTGAGTAATATAGGGTAAAAAAAGAAAAGAAAAAATTTGTTGTTTTCAGAGCAAGAAAAGTTACAGAAAAAAATAAAATCTCGTAATATGAAGCTTTACGTGTAAGTAATGTTGTCACGGTACCAACATTTCTGTATCCGGTACCAATACCAGTGAAAATTCACGGTTCTCTGTACCAGTTTCGGTACCAAAGCAAACCGCAAAAACATGCTAATTAAAAAAACACATTATTTTTTATTAAAGTCAAACAAAAATAAAATGTACAAAAATCAATGGCATTCTTTATACTTATTTAAAATTGTGTTTCAAGTTTTTCCGCAAGTAATAAAAGTATGAAAAAAAGTAAACAAGTTTCACCCAAAAGTTTAGTCATATTTCTGCTGCCACTGAAAAACAACTGTAAACTATTGTCTGTTTTAGGGTTTGCTGGTGTGTTTCATGATCTTCCTGCAGCTGTAAAAGGAATATATAATATACTTAAGTAAAGCAATGGGCTGAGTCTGACCAAATGCAACATTAGATCATTGACAACAGCTAAAATATAACTTTTCAGTAAATAACAAACCTCAGCTTTTATAATAAATTTAGATAAGATTACATATATTTAAGTCAAGTGTATATCAAATAGATGAAAACTGTAGTATTAAAAACACTGAACAATAAGATTCCATTTGTTAGATAACATGACCTATCAATAAACAATAGTTATAGCAATTATTCTTCTTAGGGTTAATTTCAAAGTTCAATCTGTTAAAATTATTTAATGCACAATGAACAAACATGAATGATCAAGTGTTTGTATTAAATAACATTCAAAAACATTAATTAATGTTGTAAAAATATATTGTTCACACACTGTAAGTTGATGTTAGATAATAACATGAAGTCATGTTAATGAATGGTATCTTATTGTAAAGTCTATACAGGAGATAAAATGTGACGTTACTTTCATTTAATGCAAACTGTGTACTTATTTAATTTTAAAGGGCTTTTAAAACCTGCTACAGTTATCCAGCCAAGAATAACAACTAACTAAGTTAGCTAAAAAAATAAAAAAAAAAGCCCAGAACTGCTTTTCTGACTGATATGACACAAACAATGTTAACCATTTGTACGTTCTCTAACACATATTTTAGATTCACAATTAATTTAAAAGCCTCTGGTGTGTAAAAATAGTAAATACCATTATGTCCTCCTGTTTTTTACAGTAATAAAAGTTATAGGAGCATTAAATAATTAAAGAAATCATTTTGAACAAAATGAACAAAATTCATTCGAATGCTCATTATATTAGCGTTAGCCGCGCTTATGCTAACGATTAACTACGTATATGCTAACGGCGATGTTTATTTCAATCCGAAATTCAAATTAAAATATGGAATAATATTCCCAACAGAACAGAAGCTGCTTGAACTCTTTCATTTGATCCAGGTGTTGGTCTTTAAAGTGTTTTGTTAGTTTGATGTGTTTCCTCCTTTTGAGGTCACCATGTCTCAGTGCTTTTATGAAGAGGAAAGCTTTCAGATAGCGCATCAAGAACCAGGTTAACCGGGTACTCGGTACCACCGGTGCTTAAAAAAAAACCTGGTACCTTAACGTTTTCATTTTTTTAGTACAAGTGACAACTCTACTTGTAAGTATGAGGATACTTTTCTAATAGCTTGAACTGATTTTGAAATGTAATTCTGGCTGCCCTTAAAATTGGTCATACCATTCACATTACCTGAACAGTTGAAGTTGAACCCTGTTTATTCAAGGACTCGCATTTATTGCATGAACAGAGCAATAACATAATGTAAGTGTCTGAAATGCATGTGCACAGTACAGCTGAATGATAAAATTTACCCTCTTCAACTTGATGCTATTAAACTGAATGATAAACTGCGGATTATCTATCACTTAGATGCATGAAATCAAGTCACCTTTATTTATATAGTGCTTTATACAATACAGATTGTGTCAAAGCAGCTTTACAGTGTTAAACAGGAAAATAGTGTGTCGATAATACAGGAGGACAATAACAAACAATAAATTTTTTAGTTAGTTCATCATTGATTCAGTGATGTTATCATCCAGCTCAGTTCAGTTCTCTTCAAATAGTATTTGTGCAATCAAGCCGACAATTTTGCTAGAAATGAAGTGTCCCCAACTAAGCAAGCCAAAGGCAACAGTGGCAAGGAACCATAACTCCATCTGTGACAGAATGGAGAAAAAACCTTGGGAGAAACCAGGCTCAGTCGGGGGGCCAGTTCTCCTCTGACCAGACGAAACCAGCAGTTCAATTCCAGACTGCAGCAAAGACTCAACTGGTTCTTGTGGTCTTGTCCTAATGGACATGTAGTTGACGAGGTCTTCACAGGGGATCTGTCTCTATGGCTCATCTAATTGACATGGTTTCTGCTGACATTCAGGGCTGTAAAGGTAATCTCTGATCCACCATCTGGTCTGGATTTACTTACTGTTTTGAGTGACACTTACTTAAGTAGCCACAAAGGAACCAATGACATTAATAAACCAGTTAGAGGCAACATAACAACAGAAGAAGAAGAAAAGAAAAAGAGTCTTAATAGACTTTTCACCCATTTCCTCAATGTCTGCAGTTATCTTTCACTAGTTGTATTCACTTGTTTCCCAAAGTCATCTTGAATGTTGAATTTTCAATACAACTGAAATATTTGAGAGAACATCACATAAGCTAACTTCATAAATTGATGTTGATTTTCCTAAAAAAAATTTTTTTTAATTTTTATTTTTTTACTTTTTTAAAAACTTTTTTAACTACCATTATAGTGATTAGCGTTCCCTTTGCTTGGGCACTTGGAACTTTGTTTATGTTACTATAATTTTTTTCCTGTTAATGCAGCAGTGCATCATGAAGTCAGAGTTATTTGATTTGAAGGGAAGAAAAGTAATAAATAGGTTGCTTTCAGAAGGTGACTGATCTTCTAATTAAATCATTAGTGTATTTTTTTAGAGGAGAAATCGCATCAGCACACCCACAGGGAGGCATCTGATATTTCTGAATGCCAACCTGCACTAAAGACTAAAGTGTCTTGATGTTAAGACTTTTGCCTTTATTTATTTGATTTTTTTGCTGTGGTTCTGTGTTCAATTGTTCAATTCGAAACAAATATTGATTAAAAAAAGTAAAAGACAGATAGTTAGATGAGGTCTATATTCTGTCCTGTTGATATACCCAAATAAGAGAGGAAGTTGCCCCAGTGTTTTACAAACAGATCTTGACGTTTCTTCAAGTGAAATTTTATTTTTTTAAGAGGCACATAAGATGATACTTCCTTAGTCCACATAGAAGTCGAAGGAGGTTTCGAATCCTTCCATTTCAACATTATACATTTTATGGCTGCTAGAAGAGCTATTTTTACAAACCTCAGATTAACCCCCTTTTGTTCTTTAAGTAGTGAAGTGTCCCCCAGCAAGATAAGTCTGGGCTCCCTGGGTACATTAGTACCAACAACTATAGCGATTATCTCCAAGATCCCTTTCCAGTAGTGCTCTAGATCAGGGCAAGACCACAGCATATGTAAGAGAGTCCCTCTGTCCACTTTACATCTAGGACAAAGCTCTGAGTAAGTACTTTTAAAGGTATTTAGTCTGGCTGGGGTATAATAAACTCTATGTATTACATTAAATTGAATTAGTTTATGACGGCTATTAAAAGACAAAGTCTGAGCTTTCTCGCACATCGTTTCCCACTCATCATCAGTAAATAAATAGTCCAGGTCTTTTTCCCATTTAGATTTAGCATTACAAACAACACCAGTC